TAATTATTTATTAAAAGTGAGAAATTTTAAATGAGAATAAGAAAGAAAAGTATTTCTTTGTGCCCCCCTCTCCCTGTTAATCAACCAGCATCTGGCCAATCCACCACCTTTCATTGTTTATACCACTACAAAATAATAATAATAAAAATCGGCCCACAAAAAAGAAAGATCACCATCCGGCATTTGCCCGGTAGCCGGTGCGCGTCCAGGGTTGCCGACCCCTGACCTTAGAAACACAGAGAGATGCTGCAGATACACAGATGATTCTGACTCGCAAAAACGAAGGACACCAACCTGAAAACACTCTTACAGATGTAAACAGAGACAGAACTGAAAACTATCAAGTGCCTTCACTACTCATTAATCTGTCCATTATTTTTCCCCAATAAGAAATTTATCTTTAGATCTTTATTGTTTATTCTGTGTAAATAAAGGACTGGATGTCTGGATACTGAAAGACTCACCCCTGCGGGAGGCAGCGTCCCCGTCTTCTGATCGGCCTCCTGCGGTACTCGAGTTTCCTGGACACAAAGTTAAGAAATGGCACTTTAAACACTGCCTTATGTTACAAGCAGAGGTATTACTGCACACCAGCAAGGACTGGAAATGTTTTATTCTTTATTTTTTAAAGCAGTTTAAATGCCAACATTCAAACTTACGGGAGAGATGTCGCTTGACCTGGAAGTGGAGACAGAGAGTGAGAAATATTCAATATATTGAGCTATGAAAAGGGTAGGAGCTGACATTCTGCTGGGTGTTTTTATTATTGTCAATAAATCCCATGAATATACCCAAAGGAACAAAGCTTTAGCTTCTTAATAACTTTGTGCTCCCCGGTTCCTGCTGATAAACAAAGTAGTCGTTTCCGAAACATGCTGAGGTTTTTTGTTCAAAGTTAAATGTGTTTGTCATCATATTGTCTCTTTGTGGAATTTACTAAGAGTACGTCTTCAGACTGTTTTGAGGAGGGTTAACGTGCACATCTCAAATATATCCTCATTTAAAGGAAATCAAAGCCAACCTGCTGCTTCGGCCCTCTGTTGGGTGGCAGCGTAAGCGCCCCCACGGTAGCTTTGAGCTCCTTCTCTGTGGCAACGGAGCTGCTGCGGTTGCTGCTGGCCACCGGTCGGATCTGAATGTGGAACTTCTTGGGCTCTTCGTCATCAAAGTCTGAATCGCTGGAGTAAAAGTTGGTCTCCTTCTCCTCGGAGCAGCGTGGAGGAGGGTCAAGGAAGAAACTACGTGATGGTTAAATGACACAAAGACTCTGCTGTTTTTAATTTCAGTTAAAATGATCCACCTGAGACTTGAGACAAACAGGAAAATATAATTAAACCGGGAAACATTTCATTTCATTAAAATCTGAACAAAAACACAACCAGCAGCAACGAGGGGCCGACAGACGGACATGATGAACATAAGCAGGACCGCCGCTTCCTGCAGGTAAGTGGTGCAGAACTGTCAAACTGCCACTTCCTGCCACAAGAAAAGCCACACCCCCTTCCTCCTCTCCCCAGACTTCAATCTGCACATGAAAATGTTACGTGCACCTTCAGACTCTGATTAGTGTCTGCGGGGAGCTTAGTGGAGAGATGGCACAGGCAGGGAGAGCAGCCTCCTCACGTCCACTCACACTGCCACCAAACATGAACGCAGCCGAGCCGAGGGGCGCGTCTGCGTCTACTGTTAATTTGAAAACGTCGCAGACTCGTTGGTTAAACTCCATCTCTCACCTTCTGAATACAATCCATTTAAAGATCACCGTAATCCTTCTCAGCTAAGGGGTCTCCCAGACTTCAGTGATCTCAGGGGTTATAATTTGTCGTCACGCAACTTGAGTCAAGCTTTCCTTCGGTCACAGCAACGAAAGAGACGCGAATCATTTGGAGCAGCGATTGTTCTTCCAGTTTTCATCCAACAGATGGTCCTCATTATATTTGTGCTCGTTCACATTTAGACCCAAGACTCAACAGGAAGTTTATCGAGATTTAGTTGATCAAAATCGCCGTCGTTGACTCTTTTGGAGAGTTTCTGAGCGGTGCTCAGACTAAGTTAGAAATACTGACGGGAGGGCGGGAATAAGACCCCCGCTAGACTTGAACTGTGGACACTCTGGGTCATGGTTATTACCGGGCTGCTAAATAAAGACTTTTATGACATATGGTGGACATTCATCAATTAAATACGGGCATGAAATTGAAATAGTGCAGACATAAAAAAGACAATAGAGCGGCTGTAAGAAGCACTCAGCCTCTTGGTTGGGAGTGTTCGTGTGCTGTTACATTAAATGAAAAACGTTCCAGAGAGAACAGATTGCTACCAAATGATCTGAATAAACCAAAAACTAAATAAAAACTCCTGAGAGGGCGAGACACCGCAGACAGGTGACGGAAAAAAGATTACAGACGATTCTTTAGGACACAAGTTATTAAAAGTTACTCTGAGCTGGTGCCATCGACTCCCAGTAAGGTCACGCGTTACAGAAGAGTCGCCTCCACGTTTTCAGCTCATTTCAAAACAGTTTCGTGAACACTGAGGCTTTTCTGTGGCGTCTTCTTTGTTTGCCACGCATCTGGATCCTCAGTTATTCTTTATTACAGGTTCAAAACACAAATATTCCTTAATGGTCTTTCCTGGCCCTGAATGCAGGAGGAGCAAAAGGATATCATTCTGAGTGCTGTCAGCTCGGATGACGAATCCTTCGTCGTCTACTTCCAGGGGGGAATTCTGCGGGAATGAATGGGAACATACGCGCACAGAGGAGGGAGAGAGGGAGGCAGACAGCAGCTGGATCAGAGACAAGCGGCTGATATCTGACACAAAGCAGTGTTTTGTCACACGGTGTAACTGAGCACTCCGGCCTGCGCGCACTGAGAGCTTTCCATTAGTGGGAATAATACAGCTGAAAAATATGACACACTGTTTGGTAGTCGGTGACTAACTGCTGCAGCTGCTGTGCATTAAACACATTCTTGCCAGCAGCTCGCTGAAGCAGCAAGAGCACTTCCAAGTTTGACGGAAATCGTTTAAGCAAGGCAGGATGTCTGGGAGTGAAAGCACGATAAAGACGAGAGGAAATCCAAACCTCGCCGACATGGGAGCAGTTATTTTTAGAGCTTATTAAGATGATATTTCATTACACGCGGTTTCAACAAACAGACCTCTGTGGGTCTGAGATGACGAGTGTAACCGAGACCGCCGACGTGTTTTTGAACAGGATCGCAGGGAAAGACGATAATTAAGGAGCAGGCGAGTGATCTAGTTAATATGACGAGGTTATAAAAGTCACATTAATAAGACAAATGCAGCTGCTGCTTAACTGCAGTAAGCCACGTGCTGTAGATGTAAAGATCAATGCTTTTACATTAGCACTCAGTGATTACACGTCTGACAATAACGGCCTGCTGTTGGGCTCCGCGTCACCCGCTCAGCATCAAACATAAAATCAGTGATAAACTCTAGAAAGTTCTACATGAAAAATGAGCCGTTTTTCTCGTTTCTATGAGGTCGTGTTTGCGGCGGCGCTGGGATGTGTCGTCCAGTCTGTGAAAGCTCGGACAGCTTTGAATGAGTCATTCAAAGGTCTCGATAAAACGTTGTAGAGCTGCAGAGTGGGGTCATCTTATTATCTGGCCTGCACCGAGGTGTTCAAGGTTAAATGAAAGATTATGTGTTAAAAAAAAGCCTTAGAAACGGATTATTACAACAAAGTACTGTGTAACATTTTTGACCTCTGACCTTTCCTTTAAGGGAAATGTGTTGATCTGAAGGTCAAAGTGTTAATACTGTTATATAAAACACAACATACAGGGAATGATGCACGGGGATTCCTCAGGTCATGTTACTTTGAACCTTTGACCTTTTCTTAAAGGTCAAATAAGGTCAAAGGTTCATAAATTGTCTTTTATCCTTAAAACATTCTGCTGCCTTTGTTTGTATTGGAAGCATTCAGGTAATAATCCAGGTATACGGGGATTCTAAATATAACATTTGACCTCTGACCTCACTTGTACATTTAAGATCTTATTTCTTCATCTCTAACGAAAATCTGGTCAAGAGAAAGAGAATAAACTGCTCAGCTAGTTAGACTTAGTTATTCACGGCCAGTTACCTACAGATAACCACTGCAAACTTCTTAAAGTTCATTTAACCTCCTAGGACCTGCGTCCACATGTGTGGACATCTCATTCTGGGTTATTTAGACCAAAATACTCAATTTTGCTTTACATGGGCCTGATATCCACTTACGAGGACGTTATGCTGCTGCTGTTCTATCAAAATTTTAAACGAATATCCTCATACGTGGCTCTCGTTTTTCTTAAAAACAAAAATGAGGTAAAAAAATAAATAAATCTGGTAATTCTTTGTTTTTTCGTTCTTGGGCCCCAATCAGCCCAAATATCAAAGAGAAATTTAAGATGCTGTGGAAGAGTTCGGGTCTTAGGAGGTTAAAGATAACAAAACAAAATGAAAAAACAAAAACAATTAAATAAAAAATAAACTGTTTACTGTTTGTTTACTTATTAATCTAAGCATAACCTAATCTAACCTTTAAATAAAACACAATTTCATATCTAAACTTTAAGCAGCCACTGATTTAATTAAAGTCCATTGATCGAGAAACCAAACCTGTGTAATTAGATTACTCTCCGTCTCAGTCTGCTGGATGACACTGTGGCAGCGACCACAGGCCGAAGCTACACACCTCTGTTTACAGCACTTTGCGTATCCACCGAGTTGTGTACGCAAACACGTGCCCTCACGTGGAGCGCTGCACTTCCCAGAAGTACCGAAATAGAGCGAGGAAACCCCACACCGTCAGGCACATTGTAAACACACACACACACACACACACACACACACA